ATCATCCATATGTGTTTGAAATAATATGTACTCTCAAATGGGTACAGAGCTCTTTATGACTATTAGAAATGGAGGTCTAGGACCTGGAGGCAGAATAGGGAAAAGGAATATCTTTCTCTATTTACCATTAAAATTCAAACCAAGTGGGAGGCCCAGTGGATAACAGGAGTATTCCTGGAAGCCATTCCTACATTGGCATGGCTAGCAATACCTTAACAATACATGGAAATGACCGTGAGCCACACAAAAATATCCCACTAAACCCAAAGTAAATGGATCTCTAACTCAGCTTGCTCTTTGGTTCCTAGAGAGACTAAAAGTAGATGATTAGTAGTTGCCTGGAGCTGGAGATAAGAGTGGAGAGTGATGCAAATGAGCCTCAGGAATCTTTCTAGAGCGATGGAAATGTTCTAATTTATTATGGTGACTGTTGCGTAACTCTGTAAATTCGCCAAAAATAACTTTTAATAAGTGAAAGTTATGATACATAGATCAAACCTTAATAGAGCCATTTACAAAAATTTTTTTTGAAAAGCAAGATCAGAGATTCGAATGTGAAAAGGCTGTGACATATAAGTAATACTTCTGAACTAGCTCACATTGAGTAATCGTTTTGTCTCATCAAGAGTCCTATATACTGGCCGGGCGTGGTGGCTCAAGCCTGTAATCCCAGCACTTTGGGAGGCCGAGGCAGGTGGATCACGAGGTCAAGAGATCGAGACCATCCTGGTCAACATGGTGAAACCCCGTCTCTACTAAAAACACAAAAAATTAGCTGGGCATGGTGGTGCGTGCCTGTAATCCCAGCTACTCAGGAGGCTGAGGCAGGAGAATTGCCTGAACCCAGGAGGCGGAGGTTGCGGTGAGCCGAGATCGCGCCACTGCACTCCAGCCTGGGTAACAAGAGCGAAACTCCGTCTCAAAAAAAAGAAAAAAAAAAAGAGTCCTATATACTATGGGAAAGTTTGTTGTGCACCCAAAACAGCTATGTGTGCTGAGTGACTTTGTATACAGTGCCTCCCCAGTAAACTCACTCTATCTGCAGTGTCCAGAGCTTCTTCCACAGTAGTTTGCTGATCCCACCTTTGCGGCCAGATTCTGTGCTGCAAAATGGGCATCTCCTCCCCTTCTTCTCCATTTCCCTCCTTCCTAATAAAACTCTTTTCTGAAGAAGCTGAGGTCAGCATCAGATTTGAAATATTTAAAGTGGATACAAAACTATTTCAGCAATGCAGACAATTAAGTGCATTGTTGTGGTTAATGAAGCTGTTAGTAAAACATGTCTCCTGATATCCTATACAACAAATTTCCATCCTAATACATACAGACTGTTTTTGACAACTATGCACTCACAGTATAATTGGTGCAGAGCCATATACTCTTGAATTTTTAATACTGCAGGGCAAGAGGATTATGACAGATTATAACTGCTGAGTTAACCACAAAAGGTATATGTCTAGTCTGTTTCTCAATGGTCTCTCCACGTTAAAGTGTGAAAGAAAAGTGAGTGCCTGAGGTAACTCACCACTGTCCAAAGCCTCCTTTCTTGCTCGTCAGGACCCAAACTGATCTCAGAGATGATCCATCTATTACTGAGAAAATCACCAAGAACAAACAGAAACCTGTCACTCCAGAGACTGATGAAAAGCCAGCCCGAAACCTGAAGGCTATCAAGTATATGGACGGTCCCGCACTCACACAGCAAGACCTAAAGAATGGATTTGACAAAGCACTATTGGCTGTCCTGGAGCCTCCAGAACTGAAGAAGGGCTGCAACCCTGTTATGCTATGAGCATCTCTCCAAAGCCCTTTCTGCACTGCTGATGTAACCATCATACTAAAATAAATGTTTAAATCTAACAAAAGATTAAAAATTAAAATTCGGCAAGGTGCTGTGGCTCACGACAGTAATCCCATCACTTTGGGAGGCCGAGCCAGGTGGATCACCTGAAGTCAGGAGTTCAAGACCAGCCTGGCCAACATGGTGAAATCTCATCTCTACTAAATATGCAAAATTAGCCGGGTGTGGTGGCACACGCCTGTAGTCCCAGCTACTCCAGAAGCTGACAGGAAAATTGCTTGAACCCGGGAGGCAGAGGCCACAGTGAGCCGAGATGGCACCACTGCACTCCAACCTGGGCAAGACAGCAAGATTCCAATCAAAATTCAAAATACGTATAAATTCATTTTTGCAATAATGAGAAATACACTGTATCAACCCACATGCATCCGTTTGAGACAGGGATTATAGGTATGGCCCCCTTCTCCTTCCCAATACTAGTTAATTCTGAGTAATTGTATATTGTTAGAAAAGTAATCAGTACTCATTTTTGGTTTTTGTTTTAAAAAACAATTTTGTTTCTGTTTAAAAGCAAGTCATGCTTGTGATGACTGTGTAACAGGCTAATTGGAATTGTTGAATCTGCTCCCTGACTCCATTCTGGAGAGTAATCTGGGGAATCTTAGTGGGGTTTTATTTTTCCTCTTTTTTTGGAGGGGGAGTGTTTGTATGGCTTGTTTTTTAGTCTTTTTTTTTTTTTTTTTAAATTCATTAACCAGTGATCAGTCCATAAGAGGAGAAAGACAGATTGATTCCATATGCGACTTCCTAGATCTAGTTTAGAAAACATGTTCCTTATCTGGGTGCTTTTAGGAAAGAATATAGTAAATGCCTTATTTAGTATTTCTTTTTGAAATTTGCCTTTTATCTCCACCTTTGAGTAGGTTCAGTATTTGATGAAACTCGTGAAAGTGGGTGGAAATTGTCTTGCAACTGCTCTTTTCTGGGATCCACTAAATAATGTGACTGTGACTTTCAAGGTAGTTTGCCAGTTGCTGATTTTTGGGGAAGTTAATTTCTAACTTCTTTCACTGATGAATAAATTGCACCTTTGAAATGCAACAAGTGGATTGAGTTTGTAACTTAAAAAAAAATTTTCCCTGTCAGTCATTGTCTTATATGCTTATTATAGATTTGCAATCAACAGTCTATGGTGTTTCTAGAATGCAGCTGAAGACCTGGTATGTAGAGGGAATGTGAAGGGTGGTACCAGAGGACTGACGTCTATAGAACGATTCACACCCTCTCAAGTTATGAGGATGGAGACCTGCTTCGTGAAGAAGCTGGGGTGTGGTGGGGATGGGTAGAATACTTAACAACATGGCATCAATCAGGGGAATCCCCTTACTTCTGTTTCGCAGATGAGGAACCCTACAGCCGCCAGATGAGGCGCTCTAGTTTAATAAAAATCATGGAAAGATTCTGATCAAGACTCTTCTCAAGTGTTAGAGATTTTATCAGCTTATTTTAGTTGCAGTTTCCAATTTCCAAAAATGTTTAGGTAATCTTTACACCTTTCAAAACCTAGTTCATCAGTGCTGAACCAATGCTTTCTCATGTCTCAATTCTTTGTATAGGCATCCTTTCCAGATGTATTAAACAAAAACCCTTCACAACAACAAAAATACACATTTCATTTACTTTAAAAACCCTTCACAACAACAAAAACAATACACATTTCATTTACTTTTTTTTTTTTTTTTTTTTGAGACGGAGTTTCGCTCTTGTTACCCAGGCTGGAGTGCAGTGGCGCGATCTCGGCTCACCGCAACCTCCGCCTCCTGGGTTCAGGCAATTCTCCTGCCTCAGCCTCCGGAGTAGCTGGGATTACAGGCACGCGCCACCATGCCCAGCTAATTTTTTGCACCTTTAGTAGAGACGGGGTTTCACCATGTTGACCAGGATGGTCTCGATCTCTTGACCTCGTGATCCACCCGCCTCGGCCTCCCAAAGTGCTGGGATTACAGGCTTGAGCCACCGCGCCCGGCGCTTCATTTACTTTCAAAAACCCTTCGCAACGACAACAACAAAAAAATAAAAACAATACACATGTCATTTACTTGGAGCTAATCGGAGCAAAAGATACAGGCAAGGTAATTTACCTTCCCATAAGAACTTAAAAGTTTAATGTGTCGCGCTATCCATCTAGGGCAACTGTATTTTGAAAGACAGACGCTAGTTAACACAGGTGAATCAGTCTTTAATGGTGATGAAGTCTTTACTACGGTAGAAACTTCCGATTCTTTCTCTTTTCAATACGGAAAGGAGACTACCGCCAGGAGTGATTTGCCACTTGCTGCATGTTTGCCAACTTTGATTGACTAACTGAAGCCTCTTGCAAATTCATCAGATAAAAATGCGGGGTGCCCGGTTAAATCTGAATTCAGATAAACACCAAATAACTTAGTACAAGTACAACCGATATTTCATTTTTAGAAGAATAAATGTGACCCATGCAATATTTGAGACATGCTTCTCCTAAAACACTATTTAGCTAAAATTCAACAGGGCATCCTATATTTTATCTAACAACCCTATTGTAAGCTAGCTGTGCGAAAGCTTGGTTTAGGTTGCTCTTAAATGCTTTTGGTTTGTGTTCAAAAACAAGAAGTCTCAAAACAAAGCATTCGATTTCCCAGCTGCTAGAAGGACTCAATTCCGGTTCCGAAGCTTCTTCAATGACAAACGTGCTTCAAAACAGAAGCCAATTGTGTGGGAGATACTTTCCCAAAGAGCTACCGTTCGGGCCGCTCTCCGTGAACTGCAAACCGCAGGGACAGGCCCGGGGCTGCCCGCCTGGCGCCGCGCTCGCCCTTGGGCGGGGACCCAGCACCGCAGCCCCCAGCACAGGCCTCGGAGGCCGCCGAGGTGGGGGGCCTCGACCGACCCGCCTAGCTGCGTCTTCTCCGCTCCCGGGCGAAGACCAACTTCCGGAGCGGCCCTGCCCCCTGCAGTTGCCGGACGCTCTCTTCCTCTCATCCCCCACTTCTCTCCCCGTGCGAGCTGCATGGAGAAAACGGCGCTCAGAGCACGCAGCCCCCAGGAATGAATTAACGGCGAGTTTTGAAGTCGAGAGCTCGCGCGGCGAGCGTCGCCTGCTGCTGTTCATTCCAGAGGGCCTTCTGCGGGAGGAGGAGGAGGGGGTCCTCGACACCTGCGATCCGGAGGCCGGTTTGTTCTCGGGCTCCCTCTCTTTTTTTTGGTCGGAGGAAAGAAAACAGCTCTGCGCCCGGATGCGTAGAGAGCCGTCAAGTGGAAACGGGGACACACCCTGTTTCCCGCCCGCCCCAGCTGGAGCCGCGGCGCGCGGAGCCGGCAGGCGGGGCGGGGAGGCGCAGGGCGGGAGCGCCCACAGCGCGGAGCCGCCGGGCGCTGACGAGGAGCCAGTCCGCGGGAGGATGCGCCGCTGACGCCTGCAGGAGCCGCGCGCCAGGGCGGGAGGATGCTCCCGAGGGGCCTTGGGTTGTGGCGCGCACGGCTGCTGCCGATCCGCGGCACCTGGGGCCCTGCGAGCCCGTGGCCGCTGCCGCCGTGGCCCCAGGTAAGGGCGGGCGCGGGGCCGCGGCGTTCCGGGGTAGGCGGGTGCAAAGTTTGCGTCGGGCAACTTCGGCGGGAGCCAAAGCCGAGCGGCTGAGCAGTCGCCTGCGTTTTGCTGGCTGCCGGGCTCAGCGCGCCGGGAGGTCCCCACAGGTGGTGGCCGGGCGGCAGACGTGGGTCACGGAGGCCAGGGCGGAGGTCAGGACCCCGCGCCCCGGGAAGGTGAAACCAGAGCGCCGCGGCTGGGGGCGCCTCACCCGGGCGGAGATGGGGTGCGGGGACCACCAGACTTCGGCCCGGGAGCGGCAGAATAACCCGGTAGGCAGTTTCTGCGCTGCAGCCCGTGGGCAGGCAGGGGTAAGTTTCCGGAACCGCGGCGCGGGGGGCCGGTTCCCTCCCAGGGGTCGGTGCCCGAGCCCCTAAGGGGGTCGGAAACGATGGTCCGGGCAGTGACTATCCTGAGTGAGGACGGTCGCAGGAGAGTGAAATTTCCATCCTGAAATCGGCGAGCACTTCCCTTTCCCGGAGGGAAGAAAAACTCGCGTTTGGTTCAGACGCCCGAGAGATGGGTGAATCATGAGTGTGCGGCTGGTGAGTAACAGTTGGCCCGACACCGTTGTGTTGTGGTCTGTGGAGAACCGTGGCTTGGAGGAGGAGGAGGGAGAGGATGTGCACCAAAAAAGACACAAGAAGGAGGGGAAAGCGCCGCGTTTAACTAGGATTACGATCGAGCCCGACGGGAGCCCGGGAGCCCAAACGCTTACCCTGATGAGGAAAGACAGCCTTTAAAAAAAAGCGTTCAGGCTGTGTGTGGTTGGGGAGGGAGCCGTTTCTGAGTTTTAGTTTGTTCCTCCCCCGCACTGTTAGATTAGTTTCAGATTGTTAAAGGGAAAAAGCCAAAAGTAAGCAGTGCTATTCTCTAGTCACTTTCACTTCCTCTTTATTTTGTTCTTTTATTTTTTTCTTTTCCCCATTTTCCTCTATCTCAGGGCTTCATTTTCAATTGATGCAGGGAATATATAAGTGTATTTTTATTCCTTTTCATTGCGTTTGTGCCCAGAGGATTTAATGCATTTAAACAATCAATTCTGGTAATGTTTGAACCAGAATGAGGAAGGCCATGTTGTTACTAAATGTAAGAAAAGGGGCAAACGCCTTACAGTGGAAAATGGTAGACTTATAAAGTCATTGGAGAGGTAGGCTTTTTACACTTTTAAAGATTGTACTTTTACTATAAGTGTTGCATTTCCTAGTCAAAGATACGCTAAACATTAAAACAACCCAATACAAGGAACACTTTTCACACACCATTTAAACACAGGTGATTGTTTTCTTTTTCTTTTTCTTTTTCTTTTTTTCTTTTTTGTTTTTGTTTTTGTTTTTTTGAGACCGAGTCTCTCTCTCTTACCCAGGCTGGAGTGCAGTTGCGGAATCTTGGCTCACTGCAACTTCCGCCTCCTGGGTTCAAGCGATTCTCCTGCCTCAGCCTCCCCAGTAGCTGGGATTACAGGCACGTGCCACCACACCTGGCTAATTTCTGTATTTTTAGTAGAGACGGGGTTTCACCAGATTGGCTAGATTGGCTGGTCTCGAATTCCTGACCTCGTGATCCTTTTGCCTTGGCCTCCCAAGGTGTTGAGATTACAGGTGTAAGCCACCAGCACCTGGCCCCAAGTGTTTTCTATGAAGCCCATCTAACACGTTGAGTAGCATTTTTATGAATCCCAGGACTGCCTGTCCTTTCTTAAATTATCAACTCCAAACCCTTTTCTCCATAATTCCCATCAGATGCTGTCTGGGGTGGTGCCATTGCATACCTTAGCAGGAATGTGGATGCCCTTTTAAAAGAAAATGGCCTAATAACAGGGAAACAGTAGTTAGTACTTTGCCTCTAGGAATTATCCTAAGAAGCCTTATGTTTGAATGTTTCCAATTTGCACATTTTTGTTTTAAGCCAGCTGTCCAGCTGTAAAGACAATTTTCAGAACTTAAGAAGTGGAAATGCTTCAAGCATCATTTTACTGGTCTGATAAAAGACCCGCCCCGCCCCCCCCCCCCCAGGGTGGGGGCGAATCAAACCTGTGAATCTGCTTTTTTTTTATTTTTTATTTTTTTATTTTCTTTTTTTTTTTTTTTTGAGACGGAGTTTCACCCTTGTTACGCAGGCTGGAGTGCAATGGCACGATCTCGGCTCACCGCAACCTCCGCCTCCTGGGCTCAGGCAATTCTCCTGCCTCAGCCTCCTGAGTAGCTGGGATTACAGGCACGCGCCACCATGCCCAGCTAATGTTTTGTATTTTTAGTGGAGACGGGGTTTCACCATGTTGACCATGATGGTCTCGATCTCTCGACCTTGTGATCCACCCGCCTCGGCCTCCCAAAGTGCTGGGATTACAGGCTTGAGCCACCGCGCCCGGCCTGAATCTGCTTCTTTATATACAGCTTTTAAATTTTACCATGAAGCAACCGATAGAAATATTCTGGCTCTTGAGGACTTTTTTTTTTTTTTTTTTTTTTTTGAGACGGAGTTTCGCTCTTGTTACCCAGGCTGGAGTGCAATGGCGCGATCTCGGCTCACCGCAGCCTCCGCCTCCTGGGTTCAGGCAATTCTCCTGCCTCAGCCTCCTGAGTAGCTGGGATTACAGGCACGAGCCACCATGCCCAGCTAATTTTTTGTATTTTTAGTAGAGACGGGGTTTCACCATGTTGACCAGGATGGTCTTGATCTCTCGACCTCGTGATCCACCTGCCTCAGCCTCCCAAAGTGCTGGGATTACAGGCTTGAGCCACCGCGCCCAGCCTCTTGAGGACTTTTTAGCTAGGACTACTAAACCATTTTCTGCAAATCATCACCTGGCTATCGGGACATTTTTCATTCTAAGGTTTCACTGTTTTGTGGTTTTCCCACTTGATATGAAATGTCCTGTGGCTAAAGGCAAGTATGATTTCTATATATTTTTCCCACAAACATTCAGACCCCTAGAGCTTATGAAGCAGCTAGAAAAACAAGTAGTTTGTGACCTGACAGCTAATAAAATCCTGGCTTGCAAGGACTTGTCATAAGCAGTATTTCAAGTAAGTGTTCCCAGTTATAATTGGTCTTTCTGAAGTCTTTCACACTCCTGTGAGTGTGCCTTACTTAATAACTTTGAAAAATCCACAATTCTTATCCCTCATGTGGTCCATGAGCAATTGTCTGCCAGTGTTTTCTGGGTGAGGGGAAAAAGGCTGTTGACATGGATATACAGAATTGTTTTTTAAAGAACACATTTAGTCTGAAGCATAGTAGAGCAAGAGCATATTGTATTATCTTTGGCCAAGGCATGGCCTGGTGGCCATAATCACATTCCATTGGCAGCATCTCTACTTGTCAGCACTCTAGCCTAGTGGTTGTCAGGGCAATCCATGGCTCCTGCTGATGTTTCTGTGCACAAGGACTCAGCTTTGAGTAATTATGGTGCTTGGTGAATTACATCTAAACAGAAAACTTCTGCCTAAATGTGCCTTTCTTAATTTGGGTTTTCTGCTACTTAGACTGAGAAACTCCCTGATATGATTTCATGTCCCTAATACAGCATTTGAGTCCCTACATAAGCTATGTTTAAAAAATTTTTGCATCAAGCACTTTGCAGAGCAGCTTAAGTATTGAGTATGCCTTTTTTTAACTTCTAAAAACAAAGTATATGACTGTTTAAATTCCACCATAAGATATCAATTTAGAAATTGTTTTCATCTTTTAATGTAATGAACACATTCGTTCTTGTTTGACATGTTCCTACTATTCTCTTGTATTTGCAGTTGGTGCCCTGTGTTCTATAAAACTAGCTTCAGAGCCCTCTCCTGAGGAGAGCAAGTTGGTTATGTGTTGGCAATTGTATTTACAGTATGGAAAAGACATTGATGCTTTGATCTCAAAGTAGTGCTAGACCAGCTTGTCTACTAAATATTAAACATTACCACCTTCACAGTATTTAAGCGTTAGTGCTTGATGTTATTTAGATTTTACTTTTTTATTATAATTAAATGGTATTAGTGCTGTTTTACATATATTCTAAGCTGGGGAATCATTTGCGTCTTGGCAGAAAGATATTTGTTGAATGAGGTACCTGTGAAACTAAGGTAGAAAACCTTGAGGTACATATTGATTAACATCTGCTATATAAACTAAATGCGTTTGGGTCATTGAATAGAAATGAGCAGCTAATTTGGTTGGTGTTAGGCTAGCAACGGGACACATGAATGCCTGCTAACCTGGTCCTACCACCACTTAGCTCTGTGAATTTAGTTGAGTCATTCAGTCTATTTGGGCCTGTTTTGTCCCCTTCTCAAAACAAGGAGATTTGTCTAATTGGCCCTGAAAGTTCTTTTCTTCTCTAAAATTGCCATTTTGTTGTTTTACCAGGGGAATATAAATACACCATTGAACAAAGTCTTGTCAATGTCAGAATAGTCAATGGTTGAAAAATTCCCTTTTATGATCTTAGGCAGTCAATAGAGTGGTAGTTTTACCTAGTGTTTGTAATAACTGTTTTTCCTTTCAAAAGAAATTGAAATTTTGCTGGGCATGGTGGCTCATGCCTGTAATTCCAGCACTTTGGGTGGCTGAGGCACGAGGATCACTTGAGCCCACAGAGTTGAGACCAGCCTGGGCAACAGAGTGAGACCTTGTCTCTACAAAACACACACACACACACCAGTTGTGTTGGTGTGTGCCTGCCTGTAGTCCCAGATACTTTAGGAGGCTGCTACGGGAGGATCACTGGAACCCACCAGGTTGAGGCTGCAGTAAACTGTGTTCACACCATTGCGTTTAAGCTTGGGCAACAGAGCAAGACCCTGTCTCAAAAAAAAAAAAAAAAAAAAAAAAAGAAATGTATTTGATGGGGTTAGCATAACATAATGAATTATAATAAGTCTCTCTCTAATACTTCATTCTGTTAACAGTATTTTTATCTGAAATGTTGCTCATTCAGGAGTATCATCAGAACCCTAAAACCATTATGT